AAATGTGTATAATGACATGGGTACTACAACGTAAACATGGTTTATGAGGACACTTCCTGTGTCCCCATAAAACAAAAGGCTTAAAAAATACAAAACAGTGTTTTATGAAATTCAAAAATTGCCAGTAGTTTCCTGTGAGGGGTAGGTTTAGGTGTAGGGCGATAGAAAATACAGTTTGTACAGTATAAAATCCATTACACCTATGGAGAGTCCCCATAAACCACAAATGCAAGTATGTGTGTGTGTGGACTGATGTAGATGCTGAACGTCGACCTCTTTCACAGCGAGAGCCGTGAAATCCAGCGGGACAGAGGCACTGTCCGGTTCTGGGGTGACATGAAGCCCCGTTCACACAGTCACAGAACTGCTGACAGCCAGAGCCGAACAGACCGGCGGGACATGCTGAAACACACACACACACACACACACACACACACAGAGTCAGCACACAGCAAACACTCAAGTCTGTGCTGGAAGAGCTTCTCATGGATCTCACCGTGTTGACAGAGATGACCGTAATATCCCGGCTGACACCGGCAGCTCCCTGTCACTCGGTCACATGTGCTGTTATTCTGACACAAACACTGCAGAGCACAGTCAGGACCGAAGCGACCCGCGGCACACTCTGACAACACACACACACACACACACTAAATCATAAAACCCAGCCACAGATAGAAACAGAACAGATCTGAAGCAAGAGAGTCTATAAAATTAGATAGAAATTATACAATTATAATAATATAAAATAAATATTTATTATATTTAATTGTACAATATTATATTTATTACTTATTTGTGTCATTTAAAGACTAATACACAGTCAAATATTTCAATGTTGTTACACTATACAGTGTTTTTATTATACATATGCATCATATGTATAATTATATCCTATGTAATTATAGAATATTATAATTGTATTGTAAAGATGCTGTAACGTTATTTTAAATTCAATTTGGATGGCAGTTTCTTCCGCTGGTAATTAGGTAAAAATAGGAAGTTAATCCCACACTGAAACTGCTTTAACGTATTTGTAGGCCAATATGTTTGAAGTTCAATTTACATCACATCAACATCATGTCGAGTTTCTGACGTCAGACTGATTTGCATATTTGACCTGTTTATTGACGTCAATTTGATGGCTTTTCAACATCAATTGCCCACTGGGATGAATCTCAGATGATGGATCATGTCAGATGAATAAATGACTCTTAAAGGGGTCATATGATGCAATTTCAATTTTTCCTTTCTCTTTGGAGTGTTACAAGCTGTTGGTGCATAAAGAAGATCTGTAAAGTTGCAAAGACTAAAGTCTCAAATCCAAAGAGATATTCTTTATAAAAGTTAAGAGTCAACCACACCCTCCTAAAACGGCTCGTTCTAACACGCTCCCACATATCTACGTCACGATGTGGGAAGATTTGCATAACGCCGCCCAAATGTTCACGCAAAGAAAGAAGGCGTAACTTTTATTCTCGCTGTAGTATTGTTGCCGCCGCCGCCATGTCGTGAAGCGCCTGTGTGCTTCGTTGTGAAAGCAGAACTCTATGGATGATGATATGTCACCTCTCTCACAGCGCGAGCCGGTCCAGCCGAGGCCACATGAACAGTTTCCAGAGCCGGCATCACACAGGCCTCTGTTACTGCAGTCACAGCGCTGAGAGCGGCCTACACACACACACTGCTGTCAGACGTCTGAGAACACACATCTACCCTCACAGAATACCAGCTCACCTTCCTCTCCCACACACACGCCGGTGACCGGGTCACTCCTCGCCCCCTTTCCACAGACGGCCACACGGCCACAGTCCAGCCCGTAGCGTCCCGCCGGACACGCTGAACACCAGACGGGACGGGAGGAGAAGAGTGCTGTTGAAACGCTGCTGTCTGAGACACATGCAGTGTATTTTGTTGAGTGTTTGTTGTGTGTGACTCACTGAGATGACAGCGGGCCCCGATGAATCCGGCCGGACACTTACAGGCGCCCGAGACTGAAAGACAAACGCCTCCGTTCACACACTGACAGCGACGCTCGCAGCCGGGACCGTAGAAACCCTCGGCACACGCTACACACCAAACACATCCAAAACAGCAGCAGCAGCATCAGTAACACAGTCAATATACTCTATACAAACTTTACTGAGTTACCCACCTCTCACCTATCGTAGTCAAATAACCTTTTATCTAAAACAGGGATTCACTATTTTTTAGCCAAACCCCTTTTGACATTACTACTTTAATATTAAATAGTTCATATTTAAATATTTACACCCTTTAATATTACAATAATTTAACAGCACATTCACTTGTTCACAGTTTTCTAATGTTGTGTCATGGTGGTAAAATATTTCATATTTTTAGTAAGTTTTTTTTTAATGTTTTTATTTTGCTGTTGTATTTATTTAATTTTTTGTATTTTTATGGTCTTATTATTTTTGTATTTTATTTTGTTTTTATTGTAAATGGATTTTAATTTTACATTTCTATGATTTTATTATTTTTATTAAGTGTTTTAGCTTGTTTTTATTTTAAAATGATTCATTTTAATTGTACATTTTTATTTATTTTACATTTTTGGAAAGATTTATACATTTTTTTTAAATAATTGTTTATTTTAACCTCACATTTTTATGATTTTATTAATTTATTAAGTGTTTTAATTAATTTATTTTTTTTGATTGTGATTTATTTTATTTTTAGTGTTTTAGTTTGTTTTATTTTAAAATGTATTTAAATGTACATTTTTGTCACTTTATTTTTTATATTATATTATATTATATTTGCTGTGTTTTAAAATGTACCTTAAATTGAAATTTGATATTTTTAGGATTTTATCAATTTTGGTTAGTTTCTGTTTGATTGTATTTATTTTAAAATTTTATGTTTTAGGTTTTAATGAGATTTTATTTATTCATTTTAATTTTACATTTTTTGGAAAGATTTATTACATTTTTTTAAAGATTTATTTTAACCTCACATTTGTATGATTTTATTAATTTATTCAGTGTTTTAATTTATTTTAATTTTAAAATGTACCTTAATTTTGCATTTTTAGGATTTTCTGTATTGTTATTTTAATTTGACATTGTTAGGATTTAATCAGTTGTTAGCTGCTCAAGTCACAAACCCCGTGCAGTTCTCTGATGAACTCGACTGATCTAAACCACAGCAGAGGAACAAACTCTCAGTACCAATATGAATCCAGTGGTTTGTGGAAGTTTAAAAGCATCACTCACCCTGTTCACACTTGGGTCCTGTGAATCCAGGCGCGCAGTAACACACTCCAGACACTGGGTGGCACAGCTGGTTTCTCTCTGAACACTGACACAGCTGATTACAGTTGATGCCGAAGGTGCCGGGCAGACAGACTGTTGAGACCCACACGGATGATCATATTTTTTAGAACAACTCTTGTGATGCAGTCATTTGTGAAGCTGCAGACTCACTCTGCTCGCAGCCGTTGCCCGTGTAGCCGGGAGAGCAGCCGCAGCGTCCCGTCACGTGATGGCATGACGTACCCGGCAGGCAGGAGCAGCGCTGGACACAGTCCTGACCGTATGAGCCCGGCAGACATGCTGACACACACACAAAGTGTTACACACACAGACACTGGACACAAACTTCAAGTGAAGCGGGCGAAAAATCCCATAGACTTAACATTGTGACCAATTTTGATGGGACATAGCCCCAAGTGAGGATTTCAGACAAACATGTGGGTGGCCACATTTGAAGAAGCTGGCAAGCTGTGTGAGAACATACCTCACAATGTGGTATAAGTTGTACCCCTGGCGCGCAAGAGCCCCCCAAAGATGCCCCATAGACATAGACATTAAAATAACATCAGAAATGTAATGAGCAGCATTTGCGGATGAACGTACAAATCCTGTTCAACATCCTGGACATTGAAGTGATGGTCACACAGGTTATGAACTGACCTTTCTCACAGTGTCTTCCTCTCCATCCTGCAGGACAGAAACACTGTCCGCTCACATGATGACAGGGGGTGCCGTGATCACACTCACACCAGCCCTCACAGCCGACTCCAAACCGCCCGGATACACACGCTGACACACACACACACACTGCTGATCATGATCATTACACCCTCACACTTCCCTACACACACATATTACATGTCAAATAAGACATTATTTACTTCTTTAGAAAGGTTTTTTGAGTTTACAATCATTTGGTCTCCATATGTTCAGACAAACAAACAAAAAAAAGCCCACACAAGCTCAGTTTATTTCCAGTGTGGACATATTTCCTATTGGGACAGTGAGTTGAGGTGAGTCAGATGAGGGGCTACTCTTACTTAGGCTTTGGTTTAGATCACAAAATGTTCATGGGTTCAGCAGACGTCTGTAGATGATCTTACCGTTCTCACAGCGCAGTCCCGTCCAGCCCGGCTGACAAACACACCGACCCGTCTGTCGGTCACACTGAGCACCGTTCAGACAATCACATCTGCAATATGGATGAGATTGTGGCTGGCATACCCTGTCAAATGCGGCTTTACGGAGCTCAACGGCTCTAGCCCAAGCTGTGATATAAACGAACGCTATTGGCTATTTTAAAAAGGGGCGGGGCTGCTTGATATGTCCCGCCCTGTCTTCCTGTTTCAGTTAAAATGACGTCAACACATAGAGTAACGCTGCGTGTTTCTAAGCTTTTCAGGGGACCTTTAAAAGTGATGAATACTGCAAGCATAATAGTGCATTTTTAGCTTTGATCACAGGAATACATTACATTTTTAAATATATTCAACTAGGAAGCAGTCATTTTAATTGTAATACTATTTCACAATATTACAGTTTTTACTGTATTTGTGATAAAACATGCAGCCTTAATGAGCATAAAAGACTTCTTTCCAAAACATTCAAAAACCTTACAGATTCCAAACTATGTATATACAGCATATGATGTATATTGTAATGAATGAAGCGTCAGTATCTTACGTTGTGAGCAGGTGTCTCCCGTCCACCCTGCGCTGCACTCACACTGACCGCTTACAGCGTCACAGCTGCTGTTATTGTGACAAACACACGTCTGAGAACAGCTCACTCCGTACAGGCCAGCAGGACACGCTACAGACCAGACAAACACACACACACATTACTCGCTGGAAAACGCCTCTGTGCAAGACAGGAAGACAGATGTGCTCGTAAAAGAAGAAGTTATGATCATAACGTGTGCTCGAGATCCTGCAGTTAATTACACAAGCTCACTTTGGTTACAATGTGGGCCGATCCAGCCGGGCAGACAGGCACATTCACCACTGACATGATCGCAGAGCCCCCCGTTCATACACACACACCTCTGCTGACAGTCCAGACCATAGAAACCCTGCGGACAGGCTGGACACACACACATAAACGGTCAAAAATCATCCCGTATCCCATAACACGACTGATGTTAATATATGAGAAGTGGAACAAACGTACGTTTTTCACAGAACGTTCCAGTCCAGCCAATCTTACAGGTGCAAGCTCCGCCCACATGGTCACATGATGCCTGGTTTTCACACTGGCAGCGGTGCTTGCAGCCCGGGCCGAACGAACCAGCAGGGCATTCTGGGACAGACACAGATCACATCAAATGCATGATAAATACTGTAACATTTATAACATATATTGAAGTATTCATGGAATACAGAGGGACTGTCAAATCTAAAACGAGAACATGCATGACCAACTTGCAAGACCATTTAAAATTAACAAGTGAAAGCAATATTATAATATTTTTTAAAAAGTGCCTATAATATAAATGTTAAATGCATCAACTGCCCATCATTTTATTTTTTATTTTGCATGTCTTTAGATTCTTTTCCTAATATTTCATTATCAAATATTCTATAAACACTGTATAATTTATAACAGACATAGGAATATAGAGGAACTATTAAATCTAAAGTAGTTCTGCTCTGCAAGGAAAAACAGTACCATATCATATCTCCATTTTTTAAATAATTATTATTATACACAGCAATTTTATGAGCATGCAAAAATGTTGGTACATTGATAAATTCATGTTAACCTGCAAGACCATTTAAAATGAGCAAAGGCAAAATGGTTTTAATTTTGTTCAAAAACCTAAAAGAAAAAGTTACAGTAACGGACCTTAAATTAATATTTTCCCCAGTATGTTCATATCAATTTTAACCTAAATTATTTTTATTTAAAAAAATGTTATTTTTCCTTTTTTAAATTAATTTCTTTATTTATTTGTGCATTTTCCCGTATACTTTCTTTGCATTTAATGATGTTTTTTTATAAACACTGTAACCTTTTTGACCAGATATTAGATATATAGAAGGACTTAAATAAAACAATGCAGAAATGTCACCATTTTAACAATAAAAATCAAAAACAAATGTTAAATATGCAACTTAATGAAACTGAGACAATATTGATATTGATAGGGCGCTGTATACTGCATCCTACACTAAGTTTCTTCAACACGTTTACATTTAGATTTATGCATTTGGCAGACGCTTTTATCGAAAGCAACTTCGAGCGCATTTAAGTTATTGTTTATCAAATCTTGCAATCTCGCAAAAGCCATGAGCTTGGCATCGCTCGCGCTATTCTCTCGACTGCGTGATCTACAGTAGTGTTGCTGTGCATGCAGGTGTTTCACTCACTCTGGTCACATCGTGGTCCAGTGAAGCCCGCCTCACAATGACAGCGTCCGGTCTGAGCGTCACACCCTCCGTCACCGCTTCCACAGTCACAGACATTAACACAGTCCAGACCCCAGCGGCCCGTGTCACAGGCTGCCATCACAAATCAAATACTTGAGTAAAAGTACAGATAATAACATATACATTTCCCTTATTGTTTTATAATTGCACAATGAAAAAATTAATCAAATGTACCTTTCCTGCAGTTGTGGCCCGTCCAGCCTGGAGGACACGAGCAGCGTCCAGTTACAGGATGGCAGCGTCCTCCATTATCACAGGTACATCTGAGCTGACAGCCCGCACCGAAGCGCCCCGCGGGACACACTGAACACAGACACATTCACCACATAGGACAGATGTATGTGTGTGTTTGAGAAGAGCAGAGATTCACTCACTATTCTGGCACAATCTGCCGATGAATCCAGGAGCGCAGACACATGTGCCGTCATGCCGGTCACAGCGGCCTCCGTTCTCACACGCCGGACACGATTCCTGACATCCAACACCCCAGCGGCCCTCTGCACACTCTGATGTAGAAATATAGTGTGTGTTTGGATTATACATCTGGACAGCATTAGGGCTGTCAAAATGACTGAAAAACTCAATTCTAATTTTCTACTTAAATATTATCAAAATTCGAATTATATTCTAATTTAAAAGGCATAATTTCAGTTAGGGGGAAAAAAGCTTTTGTCTTCTCTCCTGAGGCCACAAGAGGGCGCATCGAGCAAAATATTATGCACGTTTCTTCAAAGCGTAATAAAATAACACGACTATCTTTGAAAAAAAGGGCATAAACATCTTCTCCACACTGATGCTCTCGTTTTCCGCAATATATGAATGAACAACGTAGCAGCGCGCATCTAGTGGGTTCAACTGGATAGGCTAACAAAAGCATTCAAATGCAATCAATGACACATACATCGCATCTCGTGCGCCACTGATAAGTCTGCCTGATGGCTGACGCAGACTTTAAATTCGAATGCAACGTTTTTGCATTCGAATGTGAATTTTTTTATTTTTTATTCGACGAATATTCGAAATTCGAAAAAAAAATTTGACAGCCCTAGACAGCATTATGTTCAGAGATCGATTTGACTCTAAATATTATGTTCTGGGTCAATATGACCCGCAACATATTTCTTAGTTGTCGGAAATACTGGTTAACCGAGGTTGTTTTTCTTGAAATTGTGTGAATATTTCTCATATCGGGTGGGTCATGAATATACCTGCAAAGCACTGACTCTCTGAGTGTACGTACAAAATTGCAATGGTGTGATGTCAGTTGGATCCAACAAAAACAATAAAATTTAAATTAAAAAAATACAAATAAATGAATAAATAAAATACTGTTTATAATATTCACATGTTTAAAAAAAGTCAACAATTTTATAGGTAGTAATTAAACAGCTTTAAAATATGATTGGATAGATAGAATAATGTTTACTTTTTGGTGATGTGTTTTTACCTGATCTTTTGTTTGCTTGCATTTGAATTGTATTGAATCCAAGAACTCAGAATTTCATTTAATTTAATTTATATTTTATTTTAAATCTTTATTTTGTTTTTATTTTATATTATTATTTTATTTTTAGATTGCATGTTTTACAGTTATTTTCATTGTATTTCATTAATGTAAAGCTAATTTAAAATAAAAAAAGGTTAAATTGCTACTGTACGTATCAACTACCCATATAATTATTTTTAGATGTTTTTTTAACACAATACGAGGGTTAAACAACATGACAACAGGCAGAATTTTCCTATACTGTAGGATCACTTTGTCTATGAGCCACTAATACAAGTTTACAGTACTAAAATACTATAAATATTACTGTAAGTTATTTTTTTTATAAGCTAGGGGTCTCTTTTATAGATGTGAAGACAATATTAAAATACAGAACAATATAAGTATGGCATGTTGGTGTCAGCAACATTACCTTTTTCACAATGTTTTCCAAACGTTCCAGCGGGACACAAGCATTGGCCAGTGATCCTGTCACATGGTGCCCCCGAGCAGTCACATGACTGAGAGCAGCCAATCCCAAATCTCCCATCAACGCAATCTATCACAGTATTGGCAAAAATATTTTGTGCTGAACATTTGGAGCACAAATCAAAGCACATTCAATTTCCACATGCAGCTTTATTGATCTGATCAGTGACTGATGCATGTCTAATACTTTAGCTCTAATGGCCTTAATGCCATATGAACAATATATATATTTTTAATTTGACTTTATTTAGCTGATCAATGACTGATGCATGGCAAGTACTTTATCTATAATTTGACTTGATATACCTTGGTCACACTTGTCTCCTGTCTTTCCAGCTGGACACTGCGGTTGACACGCTCCGGTCACATGATCACAGGTCACTCCAGCCGGACAGGAGCATTTATTATCACAACCAGAGCCAAAGAAGCCTGATTCACACTCTGCCCAGAAAAACAATGAATACTTATCAGATCAGATCATATACTGTATCTCCATCTAAAAGTTTTTTCAACTATCCATTTTATTAATTTAATTCATTTTTAGATAGCATGTTTTAATTTCAAATGCAACTTTTCAAATTTTCAAATTAATAAACATATAAATGTTGTTTTATTTTAAGTTGTTGTTTTTATTTTAAATCTTTAGTAAATTGTTATTTCATGTTTTCCAATTGTATTTCCAATTGTAAAATACAATTTTCATTGTATTTCATTAAAGTATTTCAAAGCCAATTTAAAGTAAAAAAGGTTAAAATGCTATGGATCAACTACCCATATTTTATTTATTATTTTATTTAATTTTAGATTGCATGTTTTTCTTTTTATTTTCATATTTCAGTAAAGCATTTCAAAGCAAATGTAAAATAAAAAATATATATTAAAATATGTATCAACTGTGCATTTCATTGTTTTGTTTTGTTTTGAGACTGCAATTTTAAAATAAATTTAAAAAAAAAATTAATTTAATTTAAAGATTGCATGTTTTTCCTTTCTCATATTCCATTAAAGCATTTCAAAGCAAATTTAAAATAAAAAAAGATTAAAATGCTATGCATCAACTATTAATCTTGTTTAATAAGTATTAATACTATTAATCTTATTTAATTATATAATAATTATTTGATTTTATTAAATAAGATTGTATGTTTTACTATTCTTTTCCTTGCATTTGAGTTAAGCATTTCAATGCAAATTTTTCAGTGCAATGCAACTTTGCATCAATGACACTTCAGATGTTCTTATGCAAACGGACCGTCTTTGCAGGTGTCGCCCCGATGACCAGGCTTGCAGACGCAGGTGCCCTGATGACGGTGACACTCTATGGTATTCTGCTGAACACACTGACACTCCTCAGAACAGCCTGGGCCAAACGTCCACTTGGGACATGCTGCATGAACACACGGGACAGGAAGTGATAAGAGATCTAATGTACCGTTGCAAATGGACCCTGTTTTTAACTACGCCACAAAGCACAGTGTAGTTATAATGTCAAAGTATAGCACTCACGTAGGTGGCAGAACCTTCCATACAGTCCCGGGTCACACAGACACGCCCCATAAGTGCGATGACACCGTCCGTTATTAGCACAATTACACTTCTTATTACAGAACTTCCCATAGAGACCCTTGGGACAACCTGAAGTGATTGCATCAATATCAATATTATCAATGGTTTATATTTTGTCTGTTATATCTCTCCATACAGTGAAGGTGCTCTGTAAACGGACCGTCCTGACACAGCTCTCCACTGACCCCTGGTGGACAGCGGCAGCTCCCGGCGAGCGGATCACACACGCCGCCGTTCTTACACTTACATCTCAACGAGCAATTCCTGCCGAACCAGCCCTCTGGACATGCTGGACAACACACACACACAAGAAAGAGGTCAGGAGCTTTTAAAGACATGTAGTACAATAAAAACTTAAGAAATTAACCCTGTATAATATTTGATATACAATTTTTTGTGTGACTTTTCTCAGAATTGAGCTATGAACTCGTAATTGCGAGGAAAGTCCAATGCTGAAGAATAAAAGACTGACTTTTGACCTTTTTTTCTCAGAATTGTGAGTTTATATCCCATAATTTTGTCTTTATAACATGAAATAGTTTGTTATAAAATCAGAATATAAGATATAAAGTCGCATTTATATCATGCAATTCTGGGGAAAAAAACGTCAGAATTGTGTGATAAAAAGTGGCTATTACCTTTTTTATGTTTTTATTTAGTGGTGGAAACAAGTTTTCATACTGCACTGCTTTTAAAACTATAGATCTTTGATCATAAAACTATGCATTTAAATATCATCTTACTAAGATTACACCTCATTTAGTCATCTTACTATTAAATATTACTGGAGATATAGAGTGACAACTGATATTTACTATATATCACTTTATGTAAGTAATCTGCTATGCGGTTATAAAGATCAATCTTATTGATTTACAGTACAATTTATCAGCATTTCATCTTTTTATTTTGATATTTTTTCTTGCTACCTCGGTGGTTCCCACCTCCTTTAAAAAATCTGTCATCATCCCTGTGCCTAAGAACAATAACCCCTCTACAGATCTACTGAAAATCTTACTTTTTCCATACCTATATTTATATATAATTTTCTTGTGTTTGTATTCTTTAATAATTGCACTGTCCATGGAGCGGACCTGTCTTACATTTCACTGCTGGTCATATATTCTCTATATAACCATGTATGTGATAAATAAAAAATCTTGAATCTTGAATTACTTTTTTGAATATATATATATCAGTATCTGCACCAAATTGCAGATTTTTCCTCAGTTTGGGCCTCTGAATAGTATGAGATCCATATTCTCATTGTATCAAACTATATGATCAGATTTTGTTTAAAGGTTCAATAAACTGTTCCATTTCAAATTACATTTTTCTGATTAATATTTCATACGTCAGGCTTTACAGGGTTATAATGGGATATTATTAAATGTGACAGGTTTTAATGTACATGATTTATCTGTTTTAATCATCTTTAATCAAAAAATAAAATCTTTCTCCACCAGTGAAACTACTTTCTGTTGATGTAATCAAGCCTGAGTTTTCCGTTTGTGATTGCTGATATATTTATGATCAGTACTCAGTTGTGGCTCTTTCAGAGAAACTCACTCTCATTACACAGGATTCCCGTCCATCCGTCAGGACAGTCACAGCCGTTTCTGTGTTTGTTACACACTCCACCATTAGCACAGTCCTCACACGACAGACTGCAGTCGAAGCCGAACGAATCGTTCAAACATACTGCACAGACCAGAGGAGACAGGATTCATCCATTAAAAGCAATCAAAAGCTTCTTTGCATCAGGGTTATTACAGCTAACTAAAACTAAAGCTAAAATCATAGAAACAAAACCTTTTTGTTAACTTAAAAAAAAAATGTTAACTTAAAATTTTTTTTTTTTTCAGCTAGTTGCCAAAGCGTTTTCGTTTAGTTTAACTTTAAGTACTAAAATAACTCAAACTAAAGAAACACTAAAGAAACTAAGGGCCAGTTTTACTAACAGCTTGCGCCAACGCAAACGTCTTTTAGAATCAGAATCAGAATCAGAATGAGCTTTATTGCCAGGTATGTTTACACATACGAGGAATTTGTTTTTGTGACAGAAGCTTCCACAGTGTAACAGAATGACAGTGACAGAACAAAAAACACAGATAGCTCCCCTGACTACAATGTCCAGCAAAACATCAGAATAATCGAAAACCGGGGAAATATCGGGCGGTGTGTACTGCCGAATGTCCAGCAATTCGTCTCTGGTGAAACTGATTGCAGGGATATAACTAAAGACAGGACAAACTAACAAAAACATAAAAACAACTGCGGAGCACGCCACGGAGGCAGCCATCATCGTTGGCGACATCTCACAACTGCATCAAATTAGCATTAAAATAGTACTGTCAGGATTTACTAAAGACACACAGTGACGAATTAGCGCTGAAAAGGTGTGGACAGTTATTTTTGAGCCTGACCTTATTGAATTCTGTGTTCTTTAATTTGTGCGTTGTTAGTAAATCACCCGCAGAAATTTCCATGCCCATCTGCGCTGTTTTGGAATTGCGCTCTCGTGCTAATTCGCCCTGTTTAGTAAAACTGGCCCAATAACTAATATATTATATTTACATTTAGTCATTTAGCAGACGCTTTTATCCAAACAACTTACAAATGAGGACAATGGAAGCAATCAAAATCAACAAAAGAGCAATGAAACATAAGTGCTATAACAAGTCTCAGTTAGCTTAATTAGCTTAACGCAGTACACGTAGCAAGGTTTTTTTTTTTTTTTACATTATATAGTAAATAAAAAGAAAACAGAAAAAATAAAGAAGGAATAGAGCAAGCTAGTGTTAGAGGCCTTTTTTGCTTTTGTTAATTGTATAATAAATAAAAAGAAAACAAACAGATAGAATACAAAAAGTATACAGAAGCTAGTGTTAGTTGTTTTTGTTTTAAAGAAAACAAGCAGTTAGTAAATGAATAGAGTGCAAGTCTAAAAGGGGCAGTTTTTTTTATAAAGAATAGAATTTAGAGAGTATAGAGTGCTAGAGTTAGAGGGTCAAATAAAGATGTAAGAGATGTGTTTTTAGCCGATTCTTGAAGATGCTCGGATTGAGTTGGGCAGGTCATTCCACTAGAAGGGAACATTTAATGTAAAAGTCTGTGAAAGTGATTTTGTGCCTCTTTGGGATGGCACAATAAATCAACATTCACTTGCAGAACGCAAGCTTCTAGAGGGCACAGAAGTCTGAAATAATGAATTTAGGTAAAGGGGTGCAGAGCCAGTGGTGGTTTTGTAGGCAAATATTAATGCCTTGAATTTTTTTATTGGTAGTCAGCGCAAATTGATAAACAGAGGTGTGACGTGCGTTCTTTTCGGCTCATTAAAAATGTATCTTGCTGCCGCGTTCTGGATTAATTGTAAAGGTTTGATAGAACTGGCTGGAAAACCTGCCAAGGTCTTATGGGGCTTGCGATGTACCTGTGAGGGAAACTAGAAGACGGAGAGTCTGGATTTGTGCTTGTGGCAACAGTTGCTGCGACATAAAAAATACAACTGCTAAAGTGTGATTTATCATGCTCTTTTTGTTTACCACTGATGATGTTTTATTCTACTATAGTAACGAAATTGATGAAGTGATGGATTTGTTGAAACCACATCTGCCTTGGCAAGGTTGAGTTGAAGGTAATGGTTCTTCATCCAGCGAGAAATGTCTGTTAGACAAGCTGAGATGTGAGCAGCTATCGTCGGCTCATCAGGATGGAATGAGAGGTAGAGTTGAGTGTCATCAGCATAGCAGTGATATGAAAAGCCATGTTTCTGAATGACAGAACCTAGAGTTGCCATGTAGACAGAGAAGAGAAGTGGTCCAAGAACTGAGCCCTGAGGCACCCCAGTAGTTAGATGTTGCGACTTGGACACCTCACCTCTCCAAGATACCTTGAATATATTATAACTGATTTTTTTTTTCAGCTAGCTGCCAAAGCAACACTTCTCATTTTCATTTATTTTAACTACTAAAATAACTAAAACTAAATAAACATCAAAGAAACTAAAACTAATAAATAAAAATTAATGTTAAGTGAATTTTATTAAATTTTTAGTTATTCCAGCTAGTTAAGAAACACGAAAGAAACTAAAACAAAAAATTTATATTAAAAAAAATCTTAACTGAAGCTGCCAAAGCAACAATTCTCATTTTCATTTAGTCTAAATACTAAATTATTATTATTAATAATAATTATAATAATAATAATAATAATAATAAATTCTGTTACACCAAATACACCAAATAATGATCTTTAAAAAAGCATCATATGACCCCTTTAAGTACTGAGTTAAGTGATTTTTTAAATTTATTTCACCTAGTTGCCAAAGCAACATTTCTAATTTTCACTTAGTTTAACTAGTAAAAAAAACTAAAACTAAAGAAACATCAAAGAAGCTAAAACTATTTAAAAAAATTAATAAAAAAAATATATATATACAGATATATTTAAAAGAAACAAAAAAAGACAAGAAAAAAACAAACTTTGCTTCTTACTGAATTTCTCAGTTAAGGTGCTCTCAGCGTGCAGTTCTCCCGTGTCGTCCTCATAGTCGTCGTATTGCTCCAGGATTTTCTCATAGTCCTGCAGAATAGCGAGCTGAGGTCGGGGTCTGTCCACCACCTGACCACTGCTCAACGCCTCCACCGACTCCTTCAGCACTATGCCAACAAACCATTATTTTGATAATCAATTAATCTAACGATTATTAGCACAATTAATCAACAATAATTTCACAGAATAATCAGTACGCTTTGATTGATTATTCAGCTTTTGCAATTAGTTAAAAAATTAAGCTATGCACATTCTAAATCACTTCAGCTTTTGAAAATGTCAAACAATTATATTATTATTATACTACTGCAATTATTATACCATTATTTTTTACAATACAAATAAATATATTTGGCACATAAAATGAGAGGGCAGAGATACGTTCTTATTCACCATTTAATTAATTGAATGTAATAGTAACTGACTGACACATCATTTTGCCTAACAACTCCTTTTGTAGGTCATCTGGATATGGAATAAAATGAAGGTAAATGATGAGACATTTTATTTTTGGATAAACCATTTTATTCACAACATTATCTCTCTTAAAATACCTGATAGTGTTATGATCATCATTCAAAACAGTCCTAAGCTAGATCAAGCTTAATTTAAATCAAGTATTAATTCTAACTTAAAACGAGACTGACACTGTTTTTTCATGTTTATTACTGTAAACTGCTTGCTTTAAAGCAATCTACTGTATAAAGCATACATACAAACATATCCATGATCGCTATGATAAGATGCTTTCTTAACTGTTGTTTTCTCACCGCTGGCATTTTTATTGCATGTTTATTTTATTTTGTTATTGAGAAGAAAGCGCACAGCACATTCACCTAAATCGATGAATTTCAACTTGAGCAGGAAATTTGCATGGAGCTTTGTAGCACAAGCCAATCAGCAAAGAGCTTATTTGAAATGGATTTCTGGTCAAACTCTGTTATTGCAGGCACTTACATTAGGTCAAATGATATCAAGCAACTATTCGACAACAAAAATATTTGTCAACAGTTTTTTTATTGTCGAAGTTGTTGATAATGTTGACTAATCGTTTCAACCCTATCCGGCACTGACACACACACACATTTACTTTAATTAGCCTTTATGTTTGCTTAAAATGTACTATATGGACTTCAACAATGTTACATTACAGAAACTATATCTGAATATCTGCAATTTCTGTGAAAATCTTTAATTTTTGGTGTTTTACGACTTAAAATCTTGAAAACTACAGTCAAATTAAATCATGTTATCTATGTTAAAATATGTCAAGGAATGAAGATCTGATCTGATCACATCCTTGCAAAATGCAGTTATCATGACCTTGATTAAACTAAATTAAGTTTTTACATTAAATCACTTCCCAACAATGAGTCAGTTAACACCCACTTTACCAGAACAGACCTTTACATTAAAAACATACTATACACTAATTATCGAAAAATATATAATTTAAAACTTGAATGATTGTTTTTGATACATTTATTTTTCAAAATCATTCTAGCTGGCAGAATATTTCACCTATTTGATGTATTAATATAATATAATATAATATAATATAATATAATATAATATTTTTATGTGATGAATCTCTCATATACAGTTTTCTCTGCAATGTTTTATTTCAATGAGCTCAAAATTCATTTATTGTTGATATTAAAAATAATTATGAAAAGAAAGGAGGTTCATGACAGGCTGAAAACTCACATATACATGAGTGTCTGTCCTCATCGAGACGATAGCCGCGTCTACAGGAGCACTGGAAGGAGCCGGCGCTGTTCTGACACGTGTGATCACATCCTCCATTTGCAGCCAAACACTCGTCTATATCTGTAATCACACACGTCTGGATCTAGATTCCTAAATCACTGTAAATGTTTTTTTTTCTCTCTGTGAATGTCGTACCATCACAGCTGCATCCATCAGCGTTCAGTCGATATCCAGCTGTACAGTAACACTCGTAACCTCCAGGATAGTTTGTGCAGTCGTGCTCACAACACGAGCTGCCATCTACACACTCGTTTATATCTGACAGACGAGAACACACACACCTTTACCTCACATGCTTACTGTGACTAAAACAGGAAATGGTCACATTAGTTTTCTTTACCGATGCAGGTCTTGTGGTCGACGTCCAGCTGGTATCCTTGGTTACAGCTGCATACAGGTCCACTGGTTGAATGTTCGCAGTGATAAGAACATCCACCGTTATTATGATCACAGCTGTTTACAATCTCCATCTCGATACCTGAGAGTGAAAACACACCCACACACAGCATTGGAAATGAATGGGAAACTAATTTCATATAGTGGAAACATTTGGTACTGCTCCCAAAGAAAATCCTACTGAAAGCTTTTTGAAAAATTTTTGAGGTATCAACCTCAAATTTGGAACACAACTTGTTTAGACTTACGACTTTGATTTTCTCTGAACTGACGAGTTGAATCGGGTGTGTTAGATGAGGGAGACAGTGCTGGGCTGCTCCAGGACAGTTTAGAAAACCATTTCAGAGACGTTCTTAAATGTAACTCCTAAAACAAATACTTACATGCATGCATAGTTTTAAGGCAGCTTTAGTCGCCTTTTTGGTAACTTCAGGACTTAACTGACGACATAACTAGGACATTGCATGCTCGTAGTTTCTTTCGCACGTTGATATGAAATGATACAGGCTACAGTGTGCTCTCGCGCATTTGTGCGTGCAATTTAAGAGCACGCTCTACAAGCACAATACCGTTCCCGTGTTCGTTTGACTAGCGCCTGTCGCAGAAGTGAAGCTGGAGTGCACGTCTCCAGTTTGATGTGGTTATTTTACACCATTCAACAGCATATATACACTCGCACATATACACCCACACATTTGTGTGCATATGTAGCAGAGTGAGGTATAGACCCAGTACGATTGGCTGGCGTTACCCAACAGGTGAACCTATCAGTGTTTGTACTTTATCATGATTGGTCAGTTGGGTAAGTTTCATGAGCCAATTAGTGCCTGTGTTGTGCATATAAAAGGGGGAAGTGTTTGGTTGCTTGGGATGCATCATCCTTGGTACCGCCCCTTTGTGACATGTGGCACTTTGAATGAGTGCTAGCAGTTGGGTTATCCTCCTGTCTGTCGTGTGCTGGCTGTTGGCCAGTTTTCAGATATGGGCCTGCAAGTAGCTGTAATCCTGCGTGGTGAGCGACCATGTGTATTGCAGCATTGTACTGTTTTCTTGGTTTGATTGCACGTCCAGGGGTTTCCAATGATCTTAACTGAAGCCTAACGAACCTCAAGTAACTGACTTTGATTTTTCACGAGTGTGTGTCATGGGTATTGAGTGTGGGGTAGAAATCTGAGGGTCTTTGCTGGCCACCTCCCCCTTTATTTTCTCTTATTGTATTGTACTTGTTTTATAAGTTACTGGTAAAGACGTGTGATGTATTGAGACCTTGTGTGAAGTGTTGTATGTGTTTTTATTAATTGTATGTTAATAGTGATTTTTGTTTATATCTATTATTTTGTCTTTATATCACCCTGCCTTTGGCAACGAACCTGTGTCCCTTTGCTTAGGGCTGTTATGTCCCGGTGTATTCCGGGTGGCGTAGTCGACTGTAGGATTTCTCTTATTATTGGTCATTTTCAAACTCCTGACCACTTCATGCCACACATATTATATTTGCATATATATATATATATGTATATAATTCATTCTATTCTATAATTTACACCACAGATGATGAGAAACAAATGATTTAATGGCCTTTTCTTGTTTTGAGCACATGTATGTGAGACGTGTTGCATGCGATTTGACAGGGTCTGTCCAGTCTCAGATCATACTCACGATAGCACTGCTTGCCATCAACACCCAGCTCATAGGCAGTGGGACACACACACATGAAAGATCCCCTGGTGTTACGACAACCGTGAGCGCAGTCCGCCTGGCCCGTCTGACACTCGTCAATGTCTGATGCAAAGACAACACGCATACAAACACATATGCTACACTTTAAAGATCACTTGAGCATGAAGACATGATGACCATTAATGACATGTAAGTTTTCTATTCTATAAGCATCTGACACAAACTCTATAATACACACTAAATATAGCTCACCATCCCAGTTAGGGTTGCATGCTAAATCGCATGCGATATTTAATGCGCATCTTGTCAGTAAAGCCGGTTCTGTAATCAGTGGTAAATCTCTATCACGTGCGTGCTTTCACACGGAGCAGCATTTACTACACAGAGCCGTTGTTCACTGACACGATCATATATGAACTTGACACTGACAAGATGCGCATTAAATATCGCATGCGATTTATCGTGCAGCCCTAATCCCAGGTACATTTTACCTTCACAGGTCTTGCCATCTTCAGCCAGTTGATAACCTGGACGACATCCACAGCGGGCCTGATCTCCATCCCTGCGGCATTCCTGAGAACAACTGCCGTTTCGCTCCATACACCGATTCTCCGCTGATAACACAAGAACCGACTGTGTTACAGCTTTACTATTAATGCCATTTTTAGGTTGTTGGCACTAAGAGGGTTAATCTCACAGAACCTGAAAAAAAACCCCTCATATTTCACCCCAAACTCAAAAAAGAGAAATTAAAAATTATTTTGCATAATTTTTTCATTTTCTTTTTATTTGTTTGTTTGTTTTGCATTGCAATTATTTTATAGAAAGTTTTAAAGACAAGAAAACAACATTGTCAATTATATATATATATATACACACACACATGTATATAATGTATTTTTAGGACCGATATGCAATGCAATTTGCATCATGACAATTTTCTTTTGTAGTAATACAATGGCTTTCATACATACCTATATTATGTTGGGAAGAAATGTGAAATAAAAACACTTTTTCTTACTTTTTTCTTTCTCTTATTTTATTTTATTTATGTAATTATTATTATTATTATTATTATTATTATTAGGGGTGACCTGGACATGTTTTTGTTAGATTATTTATCATATTTGTAACACAAATGTCCCATCATCCTCATCCAGCTGCTCTGAATAACTCCTCTCACACACTCTGTGTTTAACATGTTTCTGTCCGTCCAACAGCTGCAGTGAAACGATCTGTCTGCAGCCAACAATTACACTTTTACAGAAACAGAATGGCAGAAATGATTCTGCAATCATGATCCTTCATCAGAGAAAGACATATCTGTGTTCAACTCCAGATGACCTCCGAGACGAGACACAAAGACATGTCCCTGCTGAAGTCACCAGTTTGTGATATTATGTCATCAAGTGAATCAAAGGCCAACATCATCCCAAAGACCAAAATCATATTTCCATTAAATCTTCTCAGGTAGTTTTTGTGATTCTTTAGAACTTCAAAGGATGAAAACGCTTGGCTTGAAATACATTTGAACAATAAGACATTAAAAAGAATGCTTTATATTACTTGTAGAGTTAAACCTCAGTTTAATTCGCTGTCATTAGGACACTTACATGCATCTGGGAATAGAAGTTATCATGCATTACGTGTCCATGATGTTTGACAAACGCTTCAACCTTACAGCAAACAGCTCCACTATGACCTGTTCATCAGAGCAAACACATTCATATCTGTGTGTGGAGATCAATACAGTCAAATTTTATCTGTATTCATTGCTAGTGAAAGAAATTAAACTATTAAAACATAATTTACTTTCCCTTATATTGACACAAACCTGAATGACTTTATGCTGAATGAAGTTTTCTCAAGTTATATAATAGCTTTGTTCTCGCCAACATTTCTTGTTTCAAAAGTTGTTTTTCACTGCAAAAATTCATTCAATCCTACTAATGGAGTTTGACATAATTGGTGTTAAACTTGGAGCATTTGTAGTAACCAATAACTATAATTAGTATGGCTTTCCAAAACCTGTAACAGAATTATGACTATTTTTATGGTTTTGTCTATTTTGGAGCTTCATAGCCCCTATGTGTGTTGTATTGAAGGAAAAGGGATGAAAACTTTGCTTAACTACTATGTTTGTGTTCCACAGAAAAAAAAATGTGTACTGTTAAACAAATTTCACATCATTCTCATACAAACTGTAATGCAATTTTGACTACTTTTATGGTGCTTTGTCCATTATGAAGCTTCAAAGCCACTATGTTTGTTTTATGGAAAGAGAAGCAGAACAACTTTGCCTAACTTCACCGTGTGTGTTCCACTAGAAAATTAAAAGTGTGCTTTGAACATGACAAATAAATGCTTTTTAAAGGAATACACACCATTTCTTTTTACACAACTATTCTTTTAAAAAACATTTATTTGTTGGTTTTAATTGGAAGAGGTTCCATAATAACAAAGCAGTATAAAATAAACACGTCTCATTTGCTTGTAACACATTCAGTCTGTCTCCACCTGTGCTTTGCATTTTAATTTAGCTTAAATCCCACTGTCAACAACTGTGATTGTAAATATGTCTTCAAGTTCATGCTACTATCATAAATAGGTAATGTTCATGAGAAAGTCCTGCAGTTGAATATCAGCTTGGTCTTACTCACATTTGCAATGTTTCCCGTCCACGTCGAGTCTGTAACCGGGTCGGCAGCGGCACTGGAAATGACCTGCCGTCTGCTGGACGCAGAAATGCTCGCAGCCACCGTTCCCAACGCTACAGGAGTGGATGGCTAAACACGCAGACAGACAGAAAGACACACAGGTGGAGACGCTATGAGAAGACAATACTGGGCTGTTATTGTTCAATTTAAAGATCAAACAAGTCATAATAAAGGAAAGACTCTTCGTGAAGTGTTTGACTCTAGCAGACCCCGAGTTCAAACGACTCCTGCTGCAGAAACATCAATGACTCAACCAACCAAAACATGAATGAAGGAACTCAGCGAAAATCACTTTAAACTTCTCAATTATAAATCAGTCTCTATAGGCACATATAAAGCAGATAGATTCATGCCATGAATGCAGTTTATTCTGTAATAGTATTCTCCACTTCCATCCTCTGTGTGTCTGATTAGCTGTCCGTCATTCTCTCTTTCTCTCACTTTGTACCTTTAAAGGAGGACTGCACTGTACAATACATTATGTCAGTTAAATCAAAATGATTTTTTTTTCAGATGGTAACATCTAAATGAACTTGTTTTGCCAATGAAATTATGGATAGATAGATGGGTGGGTGGATAGAACGATAGAGCGATGGATGGATGGATGGAACGATAAAGCAATGAATGGAACAATAGAGTGATGGACGAATGGATGGATGGAACGATAAAGAAATGGATGGATGGATGGAATGATAAAGCGATGGACGGATGGATGGAATGATAAAATGATGGACGAATGGATGGATGGAACAATAGAGGGATGGAGCGATAGAGCGATGGACAGAATGATAGAGCAACGGATGGATGGATGGATGGAACGATAAAACAATGGATGGATGGAATTGTAAAGCAATGGCAGACTGATGAATGGGTGGATGGAACGATAGAGCATTAGACACATGGATGGAATGATAGAGCAATGGATGGATGGATGGATGGAACGTTAGAGTGATGGATGGATGGAACGATAAAGCAATGAATGGATGGATGGAATGATAAAGTGATGGATGGATGGATGGATGGAAGGATAGAGCGATGGACGAATGGATGATGGAGCGATAAAGCAATGGATGGATGGAATAATAAAGTGATGGACGGATGGAACGATAGAGCAATAGACCGATGGATGGATGGAAGGATAGAGCAATAGATGGATGGATGGACGGATGGATGGAACGATAGAGCAATGGATGGATGGATGGAACAATAAAGCAATGGATGGATGGAATTATAAAGCGTTGACGGACTGACAGATGGATGGATGGATGGATGGATGGATGGAATGACAGAGCAATAGATGGATGGAACGATAAAGCAAGGAATGAATGGATGGATGGATGGATGGCTGGAATGACAGAGCAATAGATGGATGGAACGATAAAGCAAGGAATGAATGGATGGATGGATGGAACAATAGAGCAATAGATGGATGGATGGAACAAAAGAGCGATGGCCGAATGGATGGATGGAACAATAGAGCAATGGATAGATGGATGGATAATGGATAGTACAATAGAACAATGAAAGAACAATGGATGGATGATGGGTGGATGGATAGATGGATGGATAGAATGATAGTTGACACACAGTAATTCACATGTTACATGTTCACATGTTAATGGTCCTAAAAACAGGCTTAATTTCCTTTACACCAGATCTGATGTCCTTTGATTTTGTGGTGAAACATGAGCCTGGGCAGGTCTGGCTGTTTTACCGATGCATGTGCGTCCGTCAACGTGCAGTCGAGATCCAGCGTTACACTGGCAGTGATATGAACCCCTGGTGTTCACACACTTGTGCTGGCAGCCGCCGTTATGCACCTGGCATTCGTCAATATCTACGGAAGAACATATAAAGACAATTTAATACTGTGTTATGAAACATTCATCAGATTCAGTTAAGGCCTGGTACCTGTACATCTTTAATTCACCTCTAATTTCTGCACACAAAATCAGTTGGTCCAAATTCAAAACAGAATCTGCTTGCCTGGGAAAAACGTCTGACATCAGGAGTAAATAAATAACCAAACTATTTTTGTATAGACTAAAGCTGTGAGATTACAAATAAACAAAGAGAAGTGGCCATTTGTTTTACATGCTTACCATCAAGATAAAGAACAAACCACAGAAAGAGAAAACAAGTACATTCACGGTTCACTGAAATGTTGTAGGTTCAAACAGTTTTGTTGCTTTTAAAGCTACACTGCCCACTGAGATCAGAGCTAATAGAGTCACGGCCTGTTGAGAAAGACACTGTTACTGCTCTGAGATCAGCTTTAAGACAGACATGCTGCACTGCCACAGCTGCTGTCCCGAAACTGAAGTGTCCTCCCATGTCGCTTGACTTCATGAGTGAAAACAAAGGAAAGGGAGGGAAAGCAAAAAGGAAATTGGTCCTGTGATAGTGTCCGATGGTCATAAACTACATTTTTATGACCATCTGACACTATCACAGAACCAATTTCCTTTTTGCTTTCCCTTCCTTTCCTATGGAGACAGACAGACAGACAGACAGACAGATAGACAGATAGATAGATAGATAGATAGACAGACAGACAGACAGATAGATAGATAGATAGATAGATAGATAGATAGATAGATAGATAGATAGATAGATAGATAGATAGATAGATAGATAGATAGATAGATAGATAGATAGATAGATAGATAGATAGATAGATAGATAGATAGATAGATAGATAGATAGATAGATAGATAGATAGATAGATAGATAGATAGATAGATAGATAGATAGATAGATAGATAGATAGATAGATAGATAGACAGACAGACAGACAGATAGATAGATAGATAGACAGACAGACCAGTTAAAAAGAAAATGTTCACTGACTCATTTGAATCATTGATATGTCATCTCTTATGTTTCAAAATATTTAATTAGATGCTTTGATTCATCACTGTGAATTGGATGTGAACTTTGAACACAGATTTTATTACACTTAAACATTTTGTTTTACATTGAAAAAGGAACTTTCAATGTTCTAAAAAATAATAAAAAGATTATTGGAATATTTTTTACAAGAAAATCTTCATGCTACAAACTTTCGTATTTAATTCAATGCATTATTTACCATTTCTTTGTAATTATTGGAAAAAAAACTGGTGTAGGATTTACTAGCATTTTCGCTCAGATATTGCTAGTAAATTTCACAAATATTTACAAAAAACGGAAAGTAACAGATTGAATTAAACACAATTATTAAGTAGAAAGACTAAAATAGTACTTTCTTATAAAATATACTCCATTAATCTTTTTAACCCAACTTTGAAAAAAAAAATTACAGTGTAGTTGTTAGTGTAAATTCATCTGTTCACATTGTTCCCACCTAAATGTAAATATACTATATTTGAAAATAAATATTTTTTTAAAGGAAACGTAGTGGATGGATTTTTACCACAACAGGGTGGTTGTGTACACACACTGCTGACATATATAATTATGTTTAAAAACAATACAACCATGAATTTTGCATAGTAGGTCCCTTTTAAATAAATATGCAAATAAATTAATATTTATAATTTCTCAAGACACAAGCAACATTTACTTACAGTACTTTAATGAATGAATAGCTTTTATCGCGAGAAATTGGTTTCAAAGAAGCTTCCCAGCACTTTAAGTCACAGTTCAGAAATAAGTTTCTGCCACATTTTTGCTGCTTGATTCAGAGTAAGCAAACATGAAATTCAAACGCACAGGCAGTCGACTCTTGTTGATTTGACCGTAAAGATCACGAGCAGATTGGCAGGCCGCTCCTGAGGGTGTCCTCTCCTGCTAAGAGGAAAAAATCCTAAAAATCACTCAGTTACGACCGTCTACATCCATACGATCTCACAGCAGGTCTCTTTAGCATGTACACTGCTTTCTCTCCAAACAAAACCTGCGAAACGCCGCCAACGCAAGCGCCACTGACTCCAAAATGAACTTGTGTTCGAGCGACCTTTGACCTCTAATATACTAATGACCAGCTTTGTGTTTCTGTCACCTCATGACATCACCACAGGAGATATTTTCATTGGCCGGTTTTCCATTAATAGCTGTAATTCTCTAATAGGAGCCAAATGGAATATACAATTTTCCTTTACAAAGATTCATGTGCAAGTTTGGTCAAATCAAGGTTGCACAAAACATCTTTAGTTGAAGTTTGACTAAAGAAGTTATTTAAATCTGGTAACAATCTTGTTATATACTTCACCAGCTGAGCTCAATTTTGAGTCTATGCGAGTATTCATGGCACTATAGGATAGCTCGCACTAAACAGTACATAAAGTCAATTGGTAATGGGAACCAGCCGGTTGTTTACCTACGTGGAATCTTAATTACTGACTGAGATGCCAGGAGGCCTCAATAATCACAAGCTTCCTGCAAAGCATGAAAATATTTGTTTAAACTTTGTTGCACACATTTAAATAGGCCAATGATTTATTTGCATTGTGTCATTATTTGAAAGACAACTTAACACATTTTCTCACCAATTGTGCTGGGTGTAACAGCAAGAAAATATGAAATACAAATTAAAATGTAAGTATTTCATGATAGTATGCCGATTTAAATAAAAATATATTTAAAAAAAAACTATTTTAATGAGAATTTGAGAAAACATTTTACTTTTAAGTTTCCATACACCTTGCAGAATCTGCAAAATGTTAATTATTATACCGAAAGGATTTCTAATTACGTTGGTTGGTTGGTTTGGTTGGTTCGTTGGTTGGTTGGTTCGTTTAATTTTTTTAAAATTTTGTTTATTTTTTTGTTATGGTTGTCCCGATTTAAATAAAAATATATTTAAAAAAAAACTATTTTAATGAGAATTTGAGAAAACATTTTACTTTTAAGTTTCCATATACCTTGCAGAATCTGCAAAATGTTAATTATTATACCGAAAGGATTTCTAATTACGTTGGTTGGTTGGTTCGTTGGTTGGTTGGTTCATTTAATTTTTTTAAAATTTTGTTTATTTTTTTGTTATGGTTGTCAATGAGGCCACTGTTTGTACTGTTCTTCTTCTTTTGCATATTTGAACCCTTCCCAGCTGTGACTGTATGATTTTAAGATCCATCTTTTTACAATGACGGTAGCTGAGGGACTCATATGCAACTCCTACACAAAGGTTTAAACACTGATGCTCCAGAAGGAAACACAATGCATTAAGATCTGGGGGTAAAGACTTTCTAAATTTGAAGATCAGGTTAAACTGTACTTATTGTGTCTTCTGGGAAACATGTAAGTATCTTCTGTAGCTTCTGAAGGGCAGTACTAAATGGGAAGAACATGACATTTAAACAAAATAAGGAAAATTTACACATCTGCATCCTATATCCAGAGCAAATCTGAGCATAGTTTGAGACAAAATTGAGATCTCTTCTGAATCTTTGGGGAGATATGTAAAACTTTCCATTTGCTTGTCGTTTTTGAAACAATTCGTGATTTTCTTTCCAATGCTAAGAACATCAAACAAACCTGGAACTGAGCTGACTTTCTGAAGTCTCTTTTGACATTTAATTTCCTACTGATGTGGCATCTTTCAGCAAGTCACCCCAGATTCTGGTTATAATGACAGCAGTTGTCAAAACACAACATTCACCAATTTTGCTGATTGCTGCAGCCCTCTGAACTCCAATATCTGGCTTGGCTTTTCAAAGGTTAGTTCTGGTTCATCCGTCACTTGAATCAGGGTAACCCACACGCTGCAGTAATACTTCAACTATGCATGCTGATTCTGAGCCACTGATTCATGCCTGTGCCAGAAAAGTGTCTCCAGCCAGGAAGACTTTCCACCAGAGTTGACTTTCCATCTACATTGCTGTTTGGTTTGGGTTTTAATTGCTGCAGCCCTCTGAACTCCAATATCTGGCTTGGCTTTTCAAAGGTTAGTTCTGGTTCATCCGTCACTTGAATCAAGGTAACCCACACGCTGCAGTAATACTTCAACTATGCATGCTGATTCTGAGCCACTGATTCATGCCTGTGCCAGAAAAGTGTCTCCAGCCAGGAAAGACTTTCCACCAGAGTTGACTTTCCATCTACATTGCTGTTTGGTTTGGGTTTTAATTAAATTACCAAGCAATGTTTCCCCACACTGGTGAAAGCATTTGGTTTGGCTTCTATTGAATACTCTGGAACTCTAAACAGCGTTTATAGATGTAGCTTGAGGCGACCGGTGCGCTGAGTCAGTGGAGGAAGTTCCTGACTGTGTTCTGCGCTGATGACAGACGACCTTATACTGTTAACAAGATGTTTTAGTACAGTGACGACTGTGACATTTTAAACATGAAAATAATTATTGATGCTTGCTCTTACTAATTGAGAAATCAAAACATCTTAGAGACTTGGTGGTAGGTTGTGGCAAGAACCAGCCACATTTTCTTCAGAATGTATATGTACTTTAATTTCATAAGAGACAAAGATAATATGTATACAGTGTTGGGTGTAATGCATTACTAAGTAACTAATTACTGTAATTTAATTACTTTTCCCTTGAAAAATTAAGGGATTGCTCTTATTTTTTATGCAATTTAATTACAGTTACTTCTGATGTAACTGCATTAAATATTGTATAGACTATAACACAATTCTACATAAAACAATAGTGTATTTAACATCAAAACGTTACATCTCATGTTAAAATGTATGTCTCTAATGTAACCTTCTCCTTTTAAATACTCTGGCAATTTTATATTATTTATTTGAAAGAATTAAAAGAGCAGTTTCATGTCTATTCTTGTACTGTTCAACTGGTCGAGGTTGATGTGGGATTTAGAAAGTAATGATGCAATACTTTTGAGAGAGAGAGTAATTAGGTCAGAAGTCTAATTACACTGTTAAATATATAATTAGTAGCTAGTAATTAATACATTTTAGAGTAACTTACCCAGCACTCTATGTATATCAGTTTTGTTATTGTTAACTAATATAATATATAATACATGTAGAAATTAATACATATAAATAATACAAATATTTGGAACGCCTATTCCATTATATTTCTTAACAATACAGAAATTATTACTAGACACTAATGCAGAACATCTCAGGTGGAAGTCCTCAGTTTAAATGGACCAATAAATGTTCTCACCTGGTATCTGGTATCCCATAGTGAATCGGTTGTATCCATGGAAACAGTTTGGCCTATGGCAGTGTCTCAAATGATTCCAATAGCCAGAATAATAGGCCAGATCAGCTGGATGAAAATTAAGCCCCATACACAAGAGACAAAGCATGAACCAGCCTGTCATGATTTACCAGATATTGAATCATAAATACCTGACTATGTGTCTATGATTGAAAAAGCAGAAAATGTCTCACGAAAGTTCAAGCAGTCTGAGAGGGACGGACTGAAACAGCAGGTTTTATTCCCTCCCTGCCTGTTAAAACCCCTTCAGCTGACACTCTCTCTCCTATGTCTGCATCTCATGTATTTCACAACACTTATGCACCAATGTAATCATTTTGAGTGGTATTAATTCTACTGTTCTAATTTTATCTACCATGAAGTCATATAAAAGGATTAAAATAGTTTGGCTCTCTAGACTGCTTGATTCTGATTGGATAATTGCTGTATTATGTGGTCCAATATTTTTCTGATAATAATTTTTATTTACATAAATAAAATATACATTATATACCTGTGCATGAAGCCGGCAGAGTTTCAACCAAACCGCTGCAGCCTTTATATTCTGGCATTCAAATGCATATAAAATATGTGAAGCAGGATTTGGGTTAATATGAAAGAGTTACGAGATCTAAACCATGTGTAGGATGAATACAAATATCTGAAACATCAGAAAGATGAATAAATCTCGCAGTGGCATTTTTCAGATGGATATGAAGAACCAGTGGCCAAACACATTATATACACACAATGAGAGAGGTTTATATACAAGCAGAGAAACTGGGTTAAACTTTGACCAAATTCCAGCATTCTTCAGTGTATTTGAGGATTTTCAGTCATGCGAGTTAACCAATGTTTAGACTGTGGCATTAACTAACAGACTAAATATGACATATTCTATCATCTATCTATCTATCTATCTATCTATCTATCTATGTATCTATCTATCTATCATGTTAAATCAGTAAATATGTTAATAGATTTGAACTATACTTAGTATGAAATAAGTGCATTTTGAATATATTATTTTTTTACTAGGGTTATTTGCATAATAGTGAATGTCCTGCATCTCAGTAAAATCAGAGTTCTAGATTACTGCATGAGTTTACAGGTGACGTTCTGTACTTCTCCAAGTAGGAAGTTGTAAATTTTGATCTTCATAGCTGAATGGATCAAACAGGAAATAGAACCCACATGCAACTGGTTTGACTGGTATTCTAGTGAGAGCGCCATCTTTGCAGACAGCATCGGTCTGCTGAAAAGCATCAGTTGCAGAGAAACAGAGAGAGAGAGAGAGAGGAAGGGACTCACCCTGGCAGGCCTTGCCATCTTCTTTGAGCTCTTGACCTGCGGGACACTTGCAGTAGAAACTGCCGATGGTGTTACAGCAAAGAGCTTCACACCCTCCATTGGTCTCTTCACACTCGTTCACATCTGACAGTGAGAGAACAAACACATTACAGTCTGAACTACAGATGCAGATCGTTTAAAGATTTGCAACAATTTGGACAATTGTTTCCAAATGTTTACAATTTGGAGACACATGAACATATTCATACAAACCAATTATGAAACTTCACCCGTATGCATGAGGGTGCATTATGACCAATTGACAGGACTGTTTGCTAAATTAAGCATCACTATTACTATTGCTAAAAGTATAAAAAAAACTACTTTATAAAATAAATAAATAAATAACATTTCAGGTCTATTACTAGTCTTTTTTTGTATGTAGAAACAGCCTGGGGTAAGACTCACAAGCTTGTTGCATAGGTCAAATGAGGTCTCAACAAGTGCTTATTGCTGGAAATTCATTGCCATAATAAAACATAATATACTTTTTCCATCTTTCCATCTTAAAAATAACTTAACATAGTCATAATAAAAAGAGAGTTTGCCCATGGCAGTCTGCTGCCAATGAGTAAATCATATGTGTAATCAAAGACACGTTTAGCTGTTCTTCACTTTAACAGGATTTGACAATAATGTCTTTTTGATTATTTAATTGAAGCTACTGAAATCTGGACCGCCAGTTGAGTTTTCATGGGAAAGTGCTCAACAGAAAGCAAAAAACAGAAAACAGAACAGAAAATCACATTGGCCGTTTGTCAGTTTCCATATCTTTTTACTCTATGAGCACGCTGTTGCTTATAATGTTAAAGGGTTTGGTGCATTCTGGGTATGAGAAAGTACAAGTACACATGTGTATATAACCTGTAGATATAGTAAAAACATTCTGCTTTTCCAATTATGGTAACACTTTAGAATAGGGAACACATATTTACTTAAAAGTTTTCCCTCAGACTCCTAATTTGCTGCTTATTAATACTTAGTAAGGTAGGCTACTTATTAAGTTTAGGTATGGGGTAGAAGTAAGGGATCTAAAATATGGCCATGCAAAATCAGGCATTAACATGTGCTTAGTAAGTACCAATAAACAGCCAGTATTCTAGTAATATGCATGATAATAAGCAGCTAGCTAATAATGAGAATTGTCCTTAAACCCCAATTATATTCAAATGTTCTCCTTAGTTCACCCAAAATTAAAATTTGCTGTTAATTTACTCAACCTCAGGCCATCCAAGATGTGACTTTTTTTTCCTTGAGTTGAACAGTGAAATGAAATGAAATGAAAGTTAGGTAACACTATTTTAAGCTGTCCTTGTTACACATATTACATGTACTTACTATTATAATAACAATTAATTATGCATAATTACATGTAGGTAACCCTAAGCCAAACCCTACACCTAACCCTATAGTAAGTACATGTAGTTAACTAATATTACCAGTACTCAGTATTTAAATGTATAATTACACTGTAACAAGAACACCTTAAAATAAAGTGTAACCGAAAGTTTTTATTGTTTCTTATTGTGTAAAAAAAGTTGAGCTAATGAAGTTTATTTCACTTCATATGCTTTCGATATGTAAAACATCCAAGTTTCACATCATTATTTGGTGCTTTTGATAACAGAATTGCGTATATGTTACATCATCTCATGATTACGTAAAAGAACTAGTGAATTAAACCAGTTCATTGAAACTGTTCGAAAGAACCAGTTTGCAGAAAAGAATCAGGTTTCCTGCTCTAACAGCAGTAAGAGTTTTCTTCCCATGTCAAACAAAACCACTTCTTTTTTCCAGTGGACAAAAATCATCTCAATGAGATGAAGACGGATGTTTCGGCAATTGATTGGCCTCAAACCACTTTATGTTAATCAGAAAAACGAAATAGCTGGAAAATTGTGTCCTTCAACAGGCCAACCAGCCTCACAGCGAGAGGTTTCGCCATTCATTCAGCTTTCAGTGCAGATGTTTAACAAACCTCCCCATTACACCCCATATATCCAGCTCTCACACTCAAACACATGGAGATGTTTCCCAAAACATTATTTCAATAAAATCCTCACCACAACAAATTGGCCCCAGAAGAGCTGAGCGATGAGTGCTGGAGGAGGAAATAAACATAATGAATCAGTGAATGGAGCTGCTGCAGGAGGTGATCACACCATTACATGTCTTATGTCTAGTGTCTTTCATTTTAAAAACTAGACAACTTAGAAGGTTTATAAATCTTCAAGAAAGACACATCAAGCAAAATCTGCTCAATATGTTCTAGTTTAGGTAGAAATACAATGCTTTACAAGTAGAATTCACAACTAAAGTTAATGCATGTTATTATTGGCAACCATGTTACTTTAAAGTGTTTCCAATGTTTAACCATCACTAAATAGATTAAAGTACTGAAGAAGGACATTTTGTGAATGATGGCAACAAACAATATGGTATGGATCCAGTTTCTCCAATAATGTGATTACTGTTGAGAAAGAGTGACGCTTCCTTCACTCCTGCAAATTTGACAACACTGTTAACATGTTAAAATATAATCTATGTCCAATACTTCTATTATATTGAACCACAATGTGACTAAAATGAGTGACAGGTCAGTAATTCATAACGCCAGCCTCCACATCCAATCGCCTACATCAAGACTGTAACATCAACAAGGAAATAGAGATGAACCACATTCCTTCACTAAGAGGTCATGTCCCCTTTCATGACCTGAGGCCGACCTGCTGGTTAAGGATTGAAAGAGACACCCTTTGGGAATGGCAGCATTTTCTTCTGTCAGGGGTCCTGCTTTAGGCCACGCACCTGCACAGAGACGTAGACACTGGTTTCGGAGGAGGGTGTTACCAGCCGTGTGCGGGGTCACTGAGGTCAGGGGTCACGACCACATCATGAAGTCTGGCACGTATTAGGAAGACTCAGTGTAACACACACTGAAAACCAACTAATCAAACTCCCACTCCCCAAAAAACAGCAAAAACTAGAGGTCATATGATGAAAAAAAAAGGATTTTTCTCACTCTTCTAATGTTAATATTTACATTCAGAAGTTCCTGTCCCAGTCCACACAGACAATTACTGTATTGGCCCGAATATAAGACGACCCTGATTATAAGACGAACCCCCTTTTTCCAGATGTACCTTTTGGAAAAAGGCTTTTTAAAAACCAGATCTTGTTTTTTCTCAGTAAAACACATTTTGTCTTCAATTATTTTCATATTGCATATTTTTCCTATTTTAATTTTTGTTTTGAAAGTATGGTAAAAACTGGTAAAATGTACCAACAATCACATTTTAAAAATATACACTTTTTGATATACCATAAAAAAAAATAAAAAAAACTGGTAGCCCATCTGAATTAGGACATTTAGGCTATCCATCTAATAGTAGCCTTCCAAAATCTTATTAACAGTAGAAGTTAAATCTTACTGTAGTCTTCAAATCTGGGTACTGTCTTACGTTTTAAAATCACAAAGGGAGTTTGGTCCCATCAGGGTAACGTGACAGTCACGACTCGTGCAGCTGTAAGGTTTTCTTTTTCTTTTGTTTTTACTCGCGATCTTTACAACACGCATTACATTACGTATTTCATGGCACACTCGTTTTATGCGTATTTGGCGCCACCTATTGTTGTGGGTGTATTATTGACATGTCAAAGTCTAGACCCTGAATATAAGACGACCGCGTTTTTTCAGATGTATTTCCAAGAAAAAAACATTGTCTTATATTCGGGACAATACAGTAGTACAAAAACAGCTCATTTAGCAACCAACCATTCATCTGACTACCGTCACCTCATAATCATTTGACCGACAGTGTTTATATACAGTATCAACACCTCGTCGATAGTTAACACCACTGCTACTCATTCCACATCCAAAAATGTTAGCCAATCACAAAAGACTGGCAACCAGAGGTGTCAAAATCCTACTGGGTAAACTGGAAGTGGGCCGAGTCACACAGACCAAAACAAAAACAGACATTCCGACACAGAACAAACATTTCAAAAGTAGAATAACTGACTGTAGCGTTGTTTTTCAGAGAAACAAGTATGTGAACTTAATATCTGCAAACATATTATGGTATTTTTATGCTTTAATACAGTCAAAACATCTGATCCTACCTTTTAACATTCATATACAATTGGGCTCAAATGATGAAGACACCTCATCTGTAACGATTTTGACTGTCAAGGACTTTGACTGTTAAAGACTGGATCTTTTGCACCTTTAATTGAAAACCTTTGAAATATAATGTACTTATTGAAGATAAAGCAGCAAAAACCAACCTTAATTGAAAGGATGAGAGAGGGTGAAAATGCTTATGAAAAACTAAATTATTGACAAGAAATACCCTCCTGACATGGCCTTTTTTTGTTACATTATTCATTTAAATGTCTTGTGTGCTCTCTGTTTTTGAATGCATTTGAATCTTTTTTTATTTTCATTTCTTTTCCCCTTCATTTTCATCATTCTTTTAGTAATAATTATCTTAAATTAATTTAAAGTAAATTGCTTTTTTTTTGATAACCTCTGGAATCTTGAGTGTTTTTTTTTATATTCTGCAATAAACTTTAACATGCTCACTCTGTTCAGATCAGTACTCCCATATCTGAAAGCAAACCACTGTTATTGGGAGAGATACAGTTTTATCTTAGAAAGTAAATTTTATCCTTCTGTTCTCCAGGACAATAACTTTTAGACGCAGTTTGTGTTGAGAGTGTGATATTTAAATGTATTTTTTGGTTTAGCACAGTGCGAGTTGTCTGGAGGTTATGACAGAAAACTGGCCGGGAATTTGATGTCGTCATTTAGATGTTCAGGCACGTTTCCATTGTGTTACAACAGACTTGTTTCACCAACAGAGACATTCTGTCAAAAAGAACAATAGATCATAAAGCTCTGACATCACAAACAGAACAACCACAAACAAAGAGTCAGCCGATCTTTTAATTGATTTTCGTCTATTCAAACACACGAGAACACACCACATTAACTCGAAAAAACACACATCAGTAATTATTACAAAATTAGAAGTGTGTTTCTAACCAAAAAAACTGCATAGATTGAAGCAAAACTGAAA